GTTACAGAATTCCTTTCACGCCTTTCAATGCGGAAGGCCTTTCCATAAGCATTCACTACGTGTTTTCAGTGTGTGCTTTTTTCTCTCAGGCTGTGAGAATCGAATTGAATTTGGGACTTCTCGTTTGCTTTGCTTTTTTTGGTTGTTCCGAACAAGAGCACGAGAATCATATTTCCTCTGAAATGTTTAAAATGAAAATAATAAACAGAATTTGGAATAATAACTAATAAGCGCCCATGTATCTTGCAACCGTGGTCTTCTACTTTTAACTATTTGCTTGTTGATCCATGCATTTTGTGTTTTTCCTCTTTCGTTAATCGATTTTTCCACTTTCTATCAGGATTTTTTCTCAAGATTGATAGTACACACTAATATGATTTTAGGAGAAAAAAAAAGTTTATATGATAAATCTATCAAAGTTTATAGACTAAATTTGTGTTAGATTTCATTTTATTTGAATGATAAAGGATTGAGTCTTTGAATTAATGCCTATTTTGTTTTTTAGATTACGAAATTTGAGTATTGAAAAATTTGAATAATTTGACATAGCATTCAAATTTAAATCTCAAATCAATAATTTATGGCATGTTATTACATCTGCATCAGATTACAGTAATTACTATAATTGTAAAAATTTGAATAATCTGACATAGCATTCAAATTTAAATCTCAAATCAATAATTTATGGCATTTTATTATATCTGCCTCAGATTACAGTAATTACTATAATTTTTATTTGTATTCCTATTAAGGCAGATATGAAAGCTGCCTTGTATTAATACACACTAACAATTTATGAAAAGCGCGCGCTCGTGTATCTTGCAACGTGGTCTTCTACTTTTAACTATTTGCTTGTTGGTCCATGCATTTTGTGTTTTTTTTCTTTTTCGTTATTCGATTTTTTTACTTTCATTTTATCTCAAGATTGATAGTAACACACTAATATGATTTTAGGAAATATAACTAAATTTGTGTTAGATTTCATTTTATTTGAGTGATAAAGGATTGAGTCTTTGGATTAACGCGTATTTTGTTTTTTAGATTACGAAATTTGAGTATTGAAAAATTTAAAAAATTTGACATAGCATTCAAATTTAAATCTCAAATCAAGAATTTATGGCATGTTATTACATCTGCATCAAATTACAGTAATTACTATAATCTTAAAAATTTGAATAATCTGACATAGCATTCAAATTTAAATCTCAAATCAATAATTTATGGCATTTTATTACATCTGCCTCAGATTACAGTAATTACTATAATTTTTATTTGTATTCCTATTAAGGCAGATATGAAAGCTGCCTTGTATTAATACACACTAACAATTTATGAAAAGCGCTCGTGTATCTTGCAACGTGGTCTTCTACTTTTAACTATTTGCTTGTTGGTCCATGCATTTTGTGTTTTTTTCTTTTTCGTTATTCAATTTTTTCACTTTCATTTTATCTCAAGATTGATAGTAACACACTAATATGATTTTAGAAAAAAAAAAAAAAAAAAAGTTTATATGATAACTAAATTTGTGTTAGATTTCATTTTATTTGAGTGATAAAGGATTGAGTCTTTGGATTATCGCGTATTTTGTTTTTTAGATTACGAAATTTGAGTATTGAAAAATTTTAAAAATTTGACATAACATTCAAATTTAAATCTCAAATCAATAATTTATGGCATGTTATTACATCTGCATCAAATTACAGTAATTACTATAATTTTAAAAATTTGAATAATTTGACATAGCATTCAAATTTAAATCTCAAATCAATAATTTATGGCATGTTATTACATCTGCATCAGATTGCAGTAATTACTATAATTTTTATTTGTATTCCTATTAAGGCATATATGAAAGTTGCCTTGTATTAATACATACTAACAATTTATGAAAAGCGCTCGTGTATCTTGCAACCGTGATCTTCTACTTTTAACTATTTGCTTATTGGTCCATGTATTTTGTGTTTTTTCCTTTTTCGTTATTCGATTTTTCCACTTTCTATCAGGATTTTATCTCAAGATTGATAGTAACACACTAATATGATTTTAGGAAAAAAAAAAAAAGATTATATGTTAGATTTATCAAAGTTTATAGACTAAATTTGTGTTAGATTTCATTTTATTTGAATGATAAAGGATTGAGTCTTTTGATTAACGTGTTTTTTGTTTTTTAGATTACGAAATTTGAGTATTGGGAAATTTGAATAATTTGACATAGCATTCAAATTTAAATCCCAAATCAATAATTTATGGCATGTTATTACATATGCATCAAAATACAATAATTACTATAATTTTTATTTGTATTCCTATTAAGGCAGATATGAAAGCTGCCTTGTATTAATACACACTAATAATTTATGAAAAATGATACAAGTACATAATAAATGTACATAGAGGTGTACATAACACTCACATGAGTGGGGTCCATTTGATTTTATATTTTGAAAAATGCTACAGCCTACAAGTACATAACAAATGTACATAGAGGTGTGCATAACACTCACATGGAGTGAGGTCCACTTGATTTTTTATTTTTGGTAGGACTCACTTAATGTGAGTATTATGTACACCTCTATGTACAATATTATGTACTTATAGTATTTCTCTTTTATTTAGTATGACTCACTTAATGTGTTATGTACACCTCGATATACTATATTATGTACCTATAGCATTTCTCACAATTTATATAACTAGTCATTTTGTACTAAACTAGTCCAACTTTGTACATTATAAGTGCAAAGATAAGATTGAATTAACATTATTATTGACATAAAGTTTTATAGAATACAAACGTATAAGATTTGATATAAACAAACGTAGAAAAATTGTGTAATATTACGTATTATACTAAATTTAAAATCCATAGTTTTATACCTGTTTGTCCCATTTTTGTTACGTTTTTTCTTGTTATTTTATCTTTCTTTTTCCCTCATTTCAGGTCTTTTCGTTGGTTTTTATTCGTTCTTATAGTTTATTGTGTGTTTATCTCCATTTTGGTTTTCTACGTGTTTTCCGTATGTTTTTTCGGTTTTTCTTCGTTTATGGTGTGTAGGTCGAAAGCTTCGGGAAGATCGAATTTTGGGCAAAAGTCAGTTGGGCAAGTGTAATTAGATAGAGGAGTTCGCTGGGAACACACAGGAAAAAACGGAACTCAATTCCGATACTAGACGAGCCCGAACGACTCCAAAATGTGAAGTAGTGCGAGCTGTCCAGGCCCCGCGCGCTCGCCGCGGCGCGAAGCGCCCATCCACCGCGCCGCGAAGCACTGCCGCGCCGCGGAGCGCCCTTTCACCGCGCCGCGAAGCCCTACCGCGCCGTGGAGCGCCCCTTCACCACGCCGCGCCCTTACCACGACCCCGACTGCGGCTCCCAGCATCCCGCGCGCCGCGAGCCTTCCACACGCCGCGGCACCTGTTTCCCTCGCGCCGCGCCACGCCTCCTCCATGCTGTGACTCGTCTTTTCCTATATAAACTCGATCGGGATTTCGACATAAGATTATCTCCCCCTCCTGGGTGAAAACCTAGGGTCGAGAAAAACACGAAATATCCTTTTCTCCTCCTTTTCTTCTTCTTCGTCATTTTTTCCCTTCTCTTCATCCTTCTTCTCAATTTTTCTTCTTCTTTTTTATTATTATCAAGGATTAAGCCTTGTATTTTGGATTCAACAACTGAGATTTGGATTTATTGTAAGTTTTTCTCTCTTTATTAATTCATGAATAATGGTTAATTTGAGAGTAATGGTTATGTTTGTTGAATTCGTTATACGTAGCTAATTCCTTCTGCTAGGGATAAGGGATGATTATTCTTGATTAATTTCGTTATTGTCGGGCTCAAGATTGTTGATGCTTGTGCGAGTTGTTTTAGTTAGGGTTAATTAATTCTTGCTTGATAACTTGATATAATCGAAGGGTGACACTTCGATCTTGCAATTGGTATCAATTGAATGTTAATTTGTCGAGTTAGGGTTGTTGATTCTATATGATTAGTTGATTAAATACCTTCTAATTGAATTAGCGACTTTTAGAACCGAAAGGGGAGAAGTCGTAGACCTAGGCTCGCATGAGATAGATGATTACGTAACTGAATAGTCTATAGGTTTTGGATTGAAATACACACTTGCCGATGACCCGTCTCTTGTTACGAAAAGTTATTGAGACTGGGATAATTGACATGTGTTGTATGCTTGAGCTAGCTCGTCTATGTTCAATCCCTTGTTACGAAGAGTTATTGGGAGCGAACCACTAGATGTCTAAGCGAGAGTGTCAATCCCGAACCGAACAATTGATTGCCCGATTTTGCTTAGAACTTGAATAAATTATCCCCGATTCCCTAGCTTCTTTATCGCTTTCTAGTTCGTACTTTAGGTTCGTTTTTGTTTGCTGTTAATTTCTTAGTTGATAATATATTCCTCCCCTATCTGATTAGAGTGTGTAGGATTTATTTTCTTTTTCTGTGCAATCAATACCAAAACTAAATCCGAATAGCCTTCCTCGAGAGATCGACCCGGGGAACGAATCATTTGATTCGATACTCGGTAAAAATAACAATTTGTGCTACAACAATACCTACAAATCATTTATGTCATTCATTATGCAAAAATATTATATCAATACAGGTGTTATTCAATTTTTTTAGTATGACAAATCTATATGTGACATGATATAGTGTCATATCTAATCAAACTGCACGGTGTATGAGAATAAAGCCAACTTGGGTGGGTCTGCGGAGTTCTGGGGCTGTTTTCATATCTGCAGTCCCGTTTTAGTTAATACATTAGGAGAGTTTCTGGTTCTGTTGACAGTTGTATTGGGTTGTAGTTCTTGTGACCTCTTCTCATTTGTTCGTGCTTGGGTGTTTACTTGGTTGTATTGGCGGTGGTCAGAGACGGAGCCACTCATGGGCTAGGGTGAGCTCTAGCCTCATGTCCAAAAAAAAAAATTTGCTAACTTTTTTTAAAAAAAAAAAAAATC